TTAAGTTTTAAATCTATGAAAACTCCTAGATCCTTTGAGATTCATCGAACTTTTCAATGACATGTTTAAATCTCGATATGCCCCTCTTGTTTGTGACTGGGATGCCGAGGATCACAAAGCGGGTGTGAATAACCATGCAAACTTACATGGTGCCCTCACACGTTACGGTCACCTATTCGATGAGCCGGTAAACCACACATGCTCCACCGAACTATGACAAACATTGAGTCACCCTTTGCTACCTTTGCTTAGAACCATTTAGTGTGCCGGTAAACCACACATGCTCCACTAACATCTTCACAAGGGCACAAAGTGTAATTTCATGGAATTACATCAATTCACTTTTGCCTAAAGTAACTAAGATTGGGAATTTGTAAAAAACATTTAGTTACTTTTGTACTTCATTATACTTATAATGGAAGGTTTTGTCCTGTCCTACCCGTTCGGCTAACGACCCTCCACTAGTCAAGAGTGCGGTGGGTAAGAGTGGATACCCATTCAATCATCATTTTATAGGCAATTTTCTTAAACACCCCTTATAGACCAGCTTCGTGAATGAGGCCTACTAACGGTAAGACTGACTTTTACTCATACATATATATAATGTTAGACTTTTAATGTAATATATAGTATAGGGTGTATTTTACACTTTTAAAATACTAGGTGGTCAAATTTAATAATTATACTTTTAATTTAATTAAATTGTAAACTAAAACTTTATGGATTTATTAAATCTCCTTTAATTATACACTTTAATTAATTAATAAAACCATAAGGGTGTGATTTGAACTTTTCAAAACAATACTAGGGTTTAAGAATTTAACATTTCTAGATTATCTTTTAATCAACATTTAAATTTAAAAACTTGAGGGCAAGCTTTGAAACATTTCAAAACATTAGGGTTTTAACTATTTAAATTTCAAAAACAAAACTTTTAAGTTCAAATTCAAACTATAAAACCTAAAGGGATTAATTTGAAACTTTTCCAAACTTTGTCAAGAATATTCTAGATCACATAATTCAAATAAGGCAATTAACAATTAATTGGTGGTTATCTAATAAGATCTATTTCAAATTCTTGCAAAATAATGATCAAATAATTCAAATAATTTAACATTTATCAAATAAGGTAACAATTATCTAATTAGATGACCAAAATCTTTTATTTTGACAAAGATAATCACAAGGAATCAATAAAATTCATATTTTATTGATTTTAAACAATTATGACAATTATCCTAAGTCAAAATAGGTAAAAATCCCGAAAATCCGCCTAACTGACGCTCAAACTCGCCGAGTTCCTCTATTGACTCGCCGAGTTGGAGCTACTCGCCGAGTCCACATTGGAACTCGTCGAGTTCATCAGTCAGGGGGCCAAAAAATCGATTTTTTGCAACAAGAATGAATATACTAGGCATCAATACAATAGACACCAACCAGGCTCTGATACCACTGATGGGTTTTAGCCATAAGAACATCCTATATGTTCATACAAACCCTAATGCTTGGATCTAGGTTTCTCTATTGTACATGAAATTCATCCAAGACTATAAACCCTAATTCTAGCATATGATAATCGATATTAATATAATAATGGGTTTAAGATATTATCTTGATAGTTATGTAGCAATAACAATCACAATTCCTCCTTGTAATGACTTTAGAAAGCTTAGAGTCACAAATGTCACTCCTCTAATGGTTCACAAACACCAAGAGCAAGAGGATGAAGAACAAGGAGAGTGGAGGCTGCCCAAAATCGTCCAAAACCCTAGAGGATCTCATCACCACGTTTTTGGGGCTTAAGGGTGCTATTTATACATGTAGGCTATTAGGGTTTTAAACTAGGAAACCCTAATCTAACTGCTTAAGCCCTAAGCAGCCCATGGATTCCTTTCTTAAAGGCCTTGGACGATTTCTAATGGGTTTCCCCATAGAATTCGTCTAATCTTATATAATAAGGTAATCCATAGCCCAATTGCAATTATCTTATAATTAGAATTCCAGTCCCTTAAGTTTAATTAATCTCTTTTAGCCACAAAATTAATTATCAATTAATTCTTGACTAATATTAATTAAATAATATGATTTCTCCTTTAATATATTATTCTCATTAATAAATCCTAATTAATCCTCTCTCTCCATAATTCATCCTATCAAGTTGCTTTGGTGAAGGCAACCCAAAAGGATCATGCACCATCGGGTCAAGTTCATACCAAAATAGTTATGGACTTAGACACTAATCCAACAGAGGTCTCCACGTCCTGGTGAGTGTTGATTTGGTTTACCGTTGACATTTTTGATTGTTGATTTTTGACTATTTTGACTTTGGGTCAAACTTGAAGGAATTAGATTATTGATTAATGATCTATCTTTGTTTGGTGCTAGCCGGTTCATGAGAGTAATCAGTGTGGGGGAGTGAGGATGTTGTTGTGTTTCCTTGGGTCTTCGATTGATGTAAGTTTCCTTACTATACTATGTGTTACAATATATATTCTTGTATGTTGGGATATAAAAGTAGTGGTATGTTGGTTAGAGTACCAAGAGGTCGGTGATCGTCTAGTTGAGTGCTTTAGGAGTTGTATGCAGTCATGTAGGGTTGCCTGAGAACTCTTGATCTAGGATTTCTTGTCTGTTTCTTGTTTGGTTGTGGCTCTAGTGTGGGATCATTTGTTCGATTGTCTATCTCACCTCTGATTACAAATAGCTATGCATTCATTAGTGACTTGTTAATGGTGACGTAGAGTACTGTATGAGTCTCGATATATGGTAGTGAGTTATTAGACAGGTAGACTAGTGTAGATAGTTGCATGTGTAGACTAGTGTAGATAGTTGCATGTGTCTTTTTATATTCTTGTTTGATTGCATGTTTGACTTATACGTCGATATGCCGGGTGGTGTGTTGAGGTGGTCCTGCTTTGTGCAGTAGGCCAAGATACCCGGGCGGGCCAATGGTGTGTTGTAGGCTAGGTGCGGACCAATTGTATGTTGTAGGTGCAGGAGGGGGACCAGTCGTTGATAGGAATGGCAATGGGGCGGGTTCGGGGCGGGGCATTGATTCCCAAACCCGCCCCGATAACTTTCGGGTATCTTATCGGGGCGCCCCATTGGGTTTCGGGTTTCCCCGTCGGGTTTCGGGTATCTTATCGGGTTTACAACAACTGATAACGAAATCTTTATTCTCTTTTAGGTTACCCCAATGTCTTATAAAATATACATGTTCTAGCAACTCTTTTAAATTAAAAACATGATGCATCACTTTAATAAAATAAACTTGACGTTATATAAAAAATTATTTGATTTAAGTTTTGTTTAATACGTCAAAACACATAAAAATGATCATTAACACCAGATTGTTAATAACTAAAAAAATTGTCCATGATAAGTATTTTATATTTGAACGTGTACAATTAACAGCAAATTTTTTTGAACATATTATATATATATATATATATATATATATATATATATATATATATATATATATATATATATATATATATATATATATATATAATCGGGGCGGGGCGGGGCGGGGCGAGGATAACCCACTCCCTGCCCCGAACCCGATAAAAAACCCGATAACGACCCGTTACCTGACCCGAAATGATCGGGTTTCGGGTTTCCCCGTCGGGTTCGGGTTTTTTTTGCCATCCCTAGTCGTTGACTGGAGGCCAATGAGAGTGTTCTAGGTGTACTTTAGGCATTGTGAGGTGGTCTAGTCAAAATGAAGGCTCGTATGTACATGCATTGTATGTACTATGTGTATTTTGGTGTGTGGTATTTTAGGAGAACTCACTAAGTTTTGGCTTACAGTTGTTAATTAAATGTTTTCAAGTACCATTGGTGATCATGAGAAGGCGAATTCATGACTATACGCACTCATCAACAGCATTGTGGATTCTGTATTTTTTATATTATTCTGATTTTCAAACAATTGTACTTTTTAACACATGAGCTTTCTTAACTTGAGTGTTTTTTTTTAATTATAAAAATAATATTTTATCTTAAATAAAAATGAAAATTTTGTTTGTGAAAATAAAACGTTATAGCAAACATATAGATCCAATCACAAGATCACAATCCCGAGGCATATCAAATTTGGTATCAGAGTTGCTCGTGATGTCAATACAACATGAAGAACTAATGAAGAAGTTGGAAGTGTTCATGATCCAGCAAACACAAAACAATATCAATTTGAAGACAAGTACCAACAATTTGAAGGCAGCTAGGGTAGCCTTAACGGATTGCAATCCCTAAGCCAAAACAAATCCAACGAACAGGGAGAAGACAACAAAAGTGTGGTCAAGGTTTTCAAGATGGAGCGATTTGATGACCCATTGGGACAAGGAGACGACACCACCTTCATTTGATGACCCATTGGGACAGGGACACGACACCACCTTCAGGACAAATCCAAGAAAGAGCTTGCAAGTAACAAGCAAAAGGCAAAGGATGAACCCAAGATAGAGCTTGCAAGTAACAAGCAAGGTTTTTGAATCATGGCGGACTAATGAACCTCAACCTTTCAAACACAACCCAAAAGCTGAAGAGGTTAAGATATCTGGATTTTAATAATTTTATTTTTTTAATTTACAATTTTAAGTTATAGGGTAAAGATTTATTTTTGTTATTGGGAGTCGATTTACGTTTCTGATAGGACTTAGGATTGAGTCTTTTGTTTCTTTTTTAGCATTTATGATTTTACCTATTTAAAGGGTGGAACTAAGAGAAATAAAATTAAGCTTGAATTGACCCAACTTAGTTACTTTATACTATCTACTTATATCCAAATGAGTTTAAACTTATGACCAAGTTATTTTCCACACTCATTTCGACAGTTCCACTACTGAACATTCAAAAGAAAACTAAGAATTTAAAAGCTCAAAGCATGCAAAATAAGGATTGAGGTGCAATCAAGATCAGTAAAACTCAAATCTCTACTACAATACAGTTCTGGACTGGTCGACAAAGAAGAGTGTCTGGCATAACAAATTCAAAAAGCCAAAAAAAAAAAAAAAACCAAACATAAAAGCAAAATCGACTTGTCTGATCTGCTCAGTCTTCCTCTTCACCCTCATTCTCAGCAATGTTGAAGTACCTCAACTCATACACATTGCGATCTTTGTTGGATGCAATCACTCGGAGCCAATCTCTCACATTGTGTTTCTTCAAGTATTTCTTCGTTAGGTATTTCAGATACCTGGAATACAATACAATACAAATTAATAAACAACACAATCTTCTAACAATCATGTATAAACTTTTTCAAATTACCAACAAAAATCAACACTACATTCTTCATCTGAAAGCTGCCAATCAATGCATAAACAATAAACAACATACAACAAACAATGTTTTCAGGAATAATCTTAGCCAAAAGATCTAAATGGATCCAAAAGTGTAACTTAGCCTCTAATGGATGTTGTAATTAACAAAAACTGTGTCAATAATGTGCCAATCAACAAATCAACAAAAAAGAAATGTAGTTCAAGGGAGATTTGCGTAAAGAACCTTTTGGAGAAGTTGCTATCGGAGGTGACGGAGATCTTGTTCTTTTCGCGTGAAATGGTAACAGAGTCACCGAGGTTACCGGCCTTGCCGCCGACCTTGATTCTCTCCTGAAGAAACTTCTCAAGTGATGCAATCTCCATAATCTTGTCTTCAACAGGCTTTCCACAATCAATCACAAACGTCGATGTCTTCTTCTTTCCGCCCTTGGCTCCAGCACCTCCTGCTCCACGACTCATTTTGCTCCTGTTTCAAAGAGATAAAGAAAAAAATGATTCGGATTCTTAGAACAACAACTTCGGAATTAAAATCAATCAAATAGACATGAACATAAAATTCGAATCGATGAACATACCTCTGGATTCGATGACGGCCTCTGCAACTAGAATGCGATATGAGCTGGTAGAAAGACGAAAGAGGTCGTTTAGGGTTTTAAATTAGGTTACTCAGCCAGTTGGGTCGAGCACGGTTTATTCGTTTGGTTAAAACTTAAAATCAGCCCATTTCTTTTAGACTGGGCCAAGATTCCAAATCTTTGACGTTGCATAGTCTTTACATTTTTTTTTGGGCATGTAATATTGGCATATATTAAAATGCTTTTGGTTTGTTAAAGATGATTAAACAAAATAAGAAAACTATTTATTTACTTATTTATTATTTATTTATTTATTTAATTTTTTTTTTGGGAGGGGGGGGATAATTCAAAAGGATAACAAAACGGTTGATTTTGTTCACATTTAGTTCATTTTTTTAATACACCATATACCATCAAATTTGTTGAACCTTTTCACATATTACCCTTACAACTTGTTTTTGTTGTAACGACCAGAAATTTCAATAAATTTTAATTTTTCAAAAACAACCTATATTAATAATATTATTACAAAAAGGTTTTCAATACATTTATTATCAGAGTATTCCCAGAACCATATCATAAACATAAACACGAGGAGCAGTATGATTACACCTTTACCTTGCTACGGTCTCCTGAAGAACCTGAAAAACATTAAACCACAACTGTAAGTCCGAAAGCTTAGTGAGATACCCCCAAAATACCAACCACCTATACCACACACATAACATGCTATATCACAACAAATCGCAGAACAGCCATGCATATCGGGTCTACTGTGTGACTGGTTCGCCGTGTCGGGCCTTCAGTCCACCTGGTCCACCCTCCGAGTCTATTCATGTCCCTCAAGTCGGCAGTATGGTTGGTCCGCCCGCACCGGGCCTTCAACCCACCTGGTCCACCCTCTGAGTCTATAGTATGACTTGTTCGCCCGCATCGGGCCTTCAGTCGGCCTGGTCCACTCTCCGAGCCTCGGCACATCTGGTCCGCCCTCATGGGGCCTACATCCTAACCGGACTGCTCGCTGGGCCTTCGGAATAATCGGTCCGCCTTGGGTATGTTGGCCTACAGCAGAAAGCAGGTTCCGCCTCAACCCAACCCCCCAGTCAAACAACCATGTGCACATAAACATACAATCGTATAACAGTTCACATTCAATCAAACCGATCTAGCAGATCACGTAACACAACATACTCTAAGCAGGATACCGACCTAACCGGTCACTAGCATAGCATCACCCTATATACCAGGATACCGACCTTAACCAGGTCTCTAACGAATACCATCCTAACTACCAGGATGCAAACATAGCATAACAGCAACATAAAAACAATACCCGAATTACAATCCGGTAAAGGGTCGACCTTGGTGCCTTAGACCCTGTTGATATAGTGAGGATAACTCACCTCGCAACTGCTGACTGGAAAGATAAGACCGAGATGCTCCGACCACTGACACGATCTCCACCACTGGCTAGCACCAACACTGAACTCAAAACAAAAAACCAACAATTACCAAATTGCCCTTAGAAGTCAACTGTTCAACTCTTGGTCAAAGTCAAAGTCAACCTTCTGGCTGACTCTACTCGCCGAGTTCCCCAACACTGAAAATGACCCATTTCAACTCACTGAGTCATCCCTTGACTTACCGATTCTTAGCTTAACCAGGAAATGCTAAGACCTCAAGACCAGACTCGCCGAGTCCAAGAACAGACTCGCCGAGTCCAAGGCTATCTTCAACCAACTCGTCGAGTTGTTCTTCCAACTCGTCGAGTTCCTGCCCACCTTCAAGCAACTCGCCGAGTACACCCTTGTGACTCGTGGAGTACCACTAGCTCTTAACCGTTACAGAAGCCTTCCAGGCTATGCAATCGATCCAAAACGTAGATCTACCATTTTACAACCCTTCCATCACGTAAAGTGGCAAACTTTACGTGAATCCAAAGAGATCTAGGCATTTTACACTCTAGGGCTAGGGTTTGGGACAAGATGGCTTCACCAAACACTCAATAACAAGGACTTTAATTCACCTTAGACGTTCTCCATTCCAGATCTGAGGTGGAAACCCCAGATCTAACCTTCAAACTCTAAATACCATAAGCTAAACTTCCCACACATCCCAAAAATGATGAATCTAGATGAATAGCAGCCCAAAAACGAGATAATACCTCAGAAGGAAGCCCCAACAGCAAGGAAATCCGAATCTAAGCAAAGCCCTTTGCTCCAAGCCTCCTAACTCTCCAAGATCTTCCTCCAAATCTCTTCTCCAAGGCTCAAATGCACTCAAATCCTTCACAATCACGCTTCTAGGGTTTTTTGGACTTGAAGGGAAGCTAATGAGGCTGGGGAGAGGATATAATGTCCTTTATATAGGGCTCATCCCCCGAAATTAGGGTTTTCTTCACTCAACGTCTACTCGCCTAGTCTAGCCTTGGACTCGCCGAGTTGGTCACTTAACATGCGACCTGAGTCGCGACCCTACTCACCGAGTTAGCCCATGGATTCACCGAGTTGCCCTTCAAATTTACACTTTGAACCCCGAACTTGCACTCCTGGACTTGGGATGTTACAATTGTAGGTAAAAAAGTAATATATGAACAGTTTTAACAAGTTGGATGATATATAGTGTGCAGAAAGAAAAAAAAAATGTGAATGAAAAAGAACTTCCTCCACCAAGTCTAACCACCCCCTTCACCACCACCTCTACTATCACTACCGCCTCCATGTTCGCCTTCAACACTGCCACCACCTCTTCCTCCACCTCCATCACCGCCTCCACCACCTCTACATGCGCCTTCACCACCACCACCACCACCCTTACATCCATCGTTTGCCACCATCATTACCACCATGCTTGTAACATCCCAAAAATACTAAGAAAATTTTCATTTTTTAAGTAATAAAACCATTTCCATAAACATAACAAGTCAAGTAATCCAAAACATGAGTATATTGTTTTCATAAACATATCAGAGTGAATTCCAAAATCTTGTAGTGCGGAAATCATCGATGAATGCAATGCAATCAAGCTAGCTCCTTTCCCCTGCTACTAGAAGTACCTGAAACATTTAAACTTAAACCATAAGAACAAAGATTAATGAGTTTCCTAATATACCACATACCATACATAACAGTAGGCCCCACCCTAGGGGTTTATTTCAATCGCTATGCATGTTAAGATCCCACCATAGTCTTATAGACACTTCCGTTGCTATAGTCGCATTGTAGTCTTTCCCGCCATGATCCCACCATGGTCTTACATTCAACTGTTGTGATCTAACCATAGTCTTTCATATAAGTTATGTGATCCAACCATAATTTTCCATGAGAAAGTCACACTGACAATCAAGCATACACGACACCTAGTGTCCTACATAGTATAGTGAGAAACTCACATAATCACTGAGTTGTAATCCTCCACTAAAAAATCCTACAGAATCAGCTACATGAACCTCTTAACCAATCACAAACCAAACCTACGACTACCATGTAACGGTCGGGATTCGGGTATTTACACTTCTTACCCTTAGTATGAAGTTTATTGTTAAGATTGGTCCTTTCGTACGTTGGGCATACTAGAGGAGTACGCTTAGCGTACTAAGGTTGGGTGGATCATGAAGGTTCAACACATACGTTGGGTATACCAAGGGTTACACGGGGCGTATGTGGATAAAGACCAAAACCCTAATTCGGGCTTGAGACATATATAAACGTCCTTAAGGCTTTTAGATCAAACCCTAATCAACCTTCATAGCCTCATTTCGCCTCTTAACCTAAGATTTCCTTGTGAGTGTGATTCTTGAGCTTAGAAAGTGTGCTGGTGGCCATTTTAGAATGCATTCAAGAAGGAGAAGGTGGTTATCAAGACTTGGGTATCATTCAACTTCTAGATCCTGCATCTAGTTCATTTTAAGGAACTTCTGGATGTATAAACTCTTGATCTTGTCATCTTTTTTGATTGTTTGAGCTAGGGTTTTGTTATGGAGTTCCTTTTTGGCTTTTGGACCTTCTCTTGTGAGTTGAGAAACTCCAGAGATTAGGATTGCTAGATCCAAGATCCTTGAACATGTTTGATGCATAAAGGTTCCATCTTGGAGGTTGTTTTGGCTACATGCATAAGTTAGAGGTCTTAATGAGAAGTATGAAGTATAGGAGTCACTCATGACATGAAAGGGCATAAAGTTACCAACTTTATGCCTTAAGACATCTTAATGGACTCAGATCTAAAGTTTGATGTTGAAATCCCAAGTATTAAGCACTTAATGGTCGATTATTGCATGTATGGCTTGTACGTCGTACATAGTATCGTGTAAGCAACACGTACTACTTAAGGGACTAGTACGTTGAGCGTATTGGAGTGATACATAGGGCATACACACTCAGTTGGGTTTGGGGTTTGTTTGGGCTTGTAAGCTTATTGGGCCTTATTCACTATTGGGCCTGGCCTATTTAGAGTTTTGGGCTGATATTCTGTTTTGGGCAATAGTTGTTTTGGTTGGGTCTTATTGGGCCGTATGGCCCTTTAGTGACTTTTATCTTGGATCTTAGGCCCATTAGAAAAGGGAAGACTTTTGGGCCATTATGGAAGGGCTTAGGCTTAAGTTTTTAGACTCTTTGATTAGGTTGTGCTATAATCCTAATTTAGGGTTAATTGTATCATTGTTCAATGTGTGGTTTCAGATTGTTAGGTGAGCAGCTTTTGTGTTCAGTGATTGAGGTGAGTCTTCTCACTACACTCATGGGTCGAAAGCACCAAGGTTGACCCATTAAATGATATGAAATATTTAGTCATGGAGTATGTAATGGTTTGCTATTTGTTCTATATGTGATTTATGTAAAGACCATGGGAGGAGCCCATGTCTCGGGGACACAAGACCATGGGGGATAGACCATGGCTTTTCCAGTGAAGACCATGGAGGGAGTCAATGGCAATCTTATATGTATGTGTACATGGCATTATGTGATTGTATGTTTTATGTGTTTGGGAAACTCACTAAGCGTGTACTTACAATTTTTTTGGATGTTTCAGGTACTTCTAACTTTAAGGGAAAGGGCCCGACTTGATGGCACGACATGCATTCTCTAGTATTTTTGCATTTAATTTTGATACTCTGATCTTTCAAAAACACTATGGTCATGTAATGGAATTTTTTAAACTATTGTGGTTAGTATTTATGATTATAAAAGTTAAAAAATTTCGCTAAAATTTGGGCTGTTACAAGTTGGTATCAGAGCCTTGGTTTGGAGATTCAGACACACTTTTAGGTGTGTCAAAACTCAAACTGAGGAGGTGGTAAAATTTGTTTTTCTAAAAGAAATTAAAGGATAAATTTTTCCTGAAAACGATTTTTGTAATAAAAAGGGGAGAGTGCAATGCGTGCAATTGGCCGAGCTCAAATAAGTGTTTCCAATGTTTTAGCCATGTTGTAGTATATATATGGAAGTTGATGTTGAATGGATTATTTGCTAAGTGTATGCTTTCAAAGTTGTACATACTTAGGATTGCATAGCCCTAGAATGAGGGAATCTACCTTATTCATGTTCCTTGTCTGGTTGTGGTTTAAGGTAGAAGCTTTATTTGATAGTCTATATGATTCTCTTTGTGTATAACTTGCATGTATAGGGCAACCTGCTATAATTGATTTGAGTTTCTGGTTGGATGAGGATTCAGAAATCCTAGAATAGTCTAGGATCTAAGTTGGTGTGGTACTTATGGGTCATGATTTATGATTGGGTGAATTAGGGGTATCAGGTATGGCCTTAGGGAAGGTACAAGTAGGTATGTAAGGTAGTATTGGGCTCGTACTACTGAAAGCACAAGACCTATACCCGAATCAATGACAAACCTGATAGCTCTTAGGAGTCCGATGAGGAGGAATCTCTTTCTAATTCCTTATCTTTTTTATTTATGATATTTTCAGTTGAGAATGGTAATGATCATACGAGGTTCAGGTTCGAGTTCAGGATCAGGATCAGGATCAAGTTCAGGCTCTGGTGTGGAGCCTATTGATGAGAGGCTGCATAATCTTTTCGCAACCGAGGTTAATCATGGCATACTTGATGCCACCTCAGTGATCTTTGGTACCGTCAAGGAGAGCAACATGGAGATCATGTAGGAAATGCTTTGGTCTTTCCGAATCGAGATTGTTACATGCCAAATTGGGATCCGAGCTCCCTCGTTCAGGGAGTTTAAGGCATGTGGAGCGCTTGAGTTCTTTGTGGTCAGGGATCCCATCACTAGTCGATGTTAGGTGGCAGACATGGAGAATGCCCAACGCATGAGCTCTTACCCTGAGGCCGCAAAAGTGGGGTCTGCATCTTGTACGTTAAGGGACCAAACACAAGATTGGTGGGATGAGATGACCCGCAATATGGGATCATCGGGTGTGGTTGAGATGTCTTGGGAGGAGTTTGTGAGGAGGTTTGATCATGAGTTTGCGCCATCCATTGAGGTGTAATGTTTGGTGAGAGAGTTCCAGGATTTGCAACAGACTACCGAGACTGTGGCGGAGATCACTGCCAAGTTTCGGGAAAGAGCACTATTGATCCCACAGTATGCCACAGATGAGGATATAAAGAAGACGAGGTATCGTTCCATGCTGAGGGATGATAACTGGAAGTTTGTGAGCTTTTCAGGGTGCAAGACTCTGAATAACATGGTGGAGAAGGCCCGAGAATGGGAAATTGAGTTAGAGCTCCGCACGAAGCAGAAGTCGGAGTAGGTTCAGGCAATTATGGGTAAAGCTAAGAAGCCTAAGACCTCCGATCCTACCAGCAGGGGCATGTAGGGTCGTACCCTATGTGCCAAGTGTGGTAAGCCACACAATAGAGCTTTTTGGGCAGTGAGCTCGACATATTATACTTGTGGCCAGTCGGGCCATATGAGCAGGGATTGGCCCAAGAAGGGCTTGACTTGTTTCCACTACAACCAGGCCGGTCATAAAGAAGGTTGATTCTCCAAGGTTGGATAGAGGAGGAGGAGCGGTGGCGGCACTTGCGCCCGCCACGATGAGGATTACTGATGGCCGCCCAATCAAGGTGGTAGCTCCGGCGGTGAAGAGCCGCACATTTCAGCTTACTATAGAGGAGGCCCAAGCAATACCAAACGTCATGACCGGTATGTGATCTATTTTTGTCTTGTTTATTTTATTAGTATGCTCATGTTGTTATGATCTTATATAGGGACCTTCTTGGTTAATGGTTTGTTGGCTCAGATTCTTTTTAATTCAGGGGCTACCCGATCATTTGTATACCTTGCGCTTAGCAAGAAGTTTCGAGATCCCATGGGGAATTTGGATTCCCCACTTGAGGTGGAGATTGCGGATAATCGCACCGTGAGCGCTATAAGGGTATTTCGGAGGAGTGTTCTGATTTTGTTTGAGGAGAGGTTTCCTATCGATTTGATTTCGATTCCTTTGCGAGGATTGAAGGTGGTCGTCAGGATGAATTAGTTGGGGACCAATTGGGCCATGATAGATTGCGAGCGTCAGTTGGTGAGAGTTCGAACCCCAAGTAGGGGAGAATTGGTTATTCATGGATAAAGAGCCTTACATGGGCCAACTCTTTATTCGGATGCAAGGGCTAGGGGTTTTTGGCTTATGTTTTGGATACGAGGGTAGAGGCCATGCTAGATATGAGTAGGGTACCGATTGTGCGAGATTTTCTTGATGTTTTTCCAGAGGAGTTGCCTGGGGTGCCTCCCAAGAGGCAAGTGGAGTTTTGTATCGATTTGGTGCATGATGCAGCTCTGATAGCCAAGGCGCCATACCGTCTAGCTCCATCCAAGATGCAGGAGTTTTCTATGTTTCTTCAGGAGCTGCTAGACCGGGGATTCATTCGTCCATGCAGTTCC